GATTCAAGTGGTAGATGGCCTGTTCTGCAAGCATAAAGCCCTGAGACCAAACCCCACTCCCACCACACACACACAAAAATTACTTGAGCCTCTAAATCCCTCAGAGCTTGGGTGTCTTTGTGTGAAAGCTCAGAGGAATGAGGTGAAGGGTTTAACAACTGAAAATCTAGGACAGTAAAAGGAATTTGGAATGGAGAGCACTGTTGCTGCTTAGAAAAGGCCAGGGGGGTGCACTTAGTCTGCCGGCCCTGAGCTAGCCAACCTGGGGGTGGCTGGACATGCTGCAGCCCCTTGGAGGTCTGGGGTGTGATGGCACTGTGCCCCCTGTGAGACCAAGTCAAGGACAGTGTTACTATACAATGTAAGTAGCATACAGTCTTCTCTTCTACCATTCCTCACAGATTTCACTTCCTATCGCCATCCTCTAAGGCATACAGCAGTGTCTGAGTGCCCCCTGCCGTACACTACTGGAGATGCCACAAGCTCCCTTAAAGGGAAGCACGGTATTTGTAAATGTTTTTATTAGTGGGTCAATTATAACAGGGATACTACAATATATCGTGGAAAAGTATTCTCAAGAATGGTAACAAAAGTTCAATATTTCATTTTGTATGTTTATGGTTAATGAACCACTTTTAAAAAGCTGGAGATTGAGAACAATTAAATAACATATACATAACAAATACTGGCTCTGCTTAGGGAAATGTGTTAGCCCGCAACACAATTACGAAGAAATCTCATTTTATTTTTGTTTTGTTTTAGCTTTTGAGACAGCCAGCTATGTAGCCCTGGCTGGCTTCAGACTCACCTGTCTCAGCCTCTTGAGGGTTAGGATTGCAGGTGTGCACCTCCACACCTGGCTCTCCCTTTATTTTTTAATTTTTAACTTTTTGTGGTGCAGTGGACAGAACCCAGGACCTCACACATGCTAAGCACATGCTCTCGCTCTCCCTCTGAACTATGTTCCCAGAAACCTCCCTTTAATATCGTATTATTATCGATAGTATTTTATTAAAATCAAACACTAATGAAGTCATTTGAAGGAAAAACAGAATGTTTTGGAAATGAAAATACTTAACACGAAATGGTTTCCTATGTGTTGTTTGCCACCTAGTGTTCATTTTTAGAACTATAAAAGGCTAATAAAATTTTCAAAACAGATTGACCAGTGACTCAATGTGACATGTCAAAAAAAAAATTTTTTTTTTGTATTACTGGGGTTTAAACTCAGGGCCTCACACTTGCTAGGCAGGTACTCTACCACTTCAGTCATTCCACCACTCCCTTTTTTTGTGTTGGGTATTTTCATGATAGAATCTCCAGAACTATTTGCCTCGGCTGGCTTCAACTGGAGAACCTCCTGATCTTTGCCTTCTGAGTAGCTAGGATTACAGGCCACCAGCGCCCAACACATTTCAATTTTAAAGATACCCAATTGTATCTTAAAACTTGGTTTGTGAAGGTTGGTGAGTAGGTGGATGGCTAAGTTGGCTATTTCTAAGAGACCAGATGTTCCTGAAAACAAAACGCTTCTCAATCGTGGTGAAACAGAGGATGAGCCAGACTGGAAATCATCGTATTTGTGTATGGCCATCCATTTTTTTCATTGTTCTTCAGCATTCATTATGTGACTATCCCATACCCTTTTAAGTCCATTCTGTTGTCGACAGACTTTTTGTTTTCCATTTAGGGCTACCTCAAATAATGCTGCTATAGATACATTTGGTGGATGTAACATATGAATTCATTAGGTGTGTACCTAACGAAGCGGAGCAAGGAGCAGAGTTGCTGGATCATGGGGTAGGCATGAATAGCTTCATTAGATGCTTGCAGAACACCAAATAGCTTCATCAATGTGCAGCCTGCCAACAGTGCGTAGAAGTCTAGATAATTCATGTGCTTACCAACCCTCGGTGTCACCACAGGGCTATTTGGCCTGTCATTGCTGGTTTTTGTTTTAGCAATGCTGGTGTATGTAGTGCTATTATTTTGACTGCATTTCTGGAAGTGATTTTTTTTTACATTTATTTATATTTTCAATATATTATTTTATGACATATGTATCCAAATCACGTGCTTCCTTTGCAATTGGATTTTTATTGATATATGAGAGTTACTTCATATTCAATGTAATTTGTACATATATTTGGAAAACTCTATGGGTTGCCCTTCTGTTTTGTTTTAATTTTTTGAGACAAGGTCTTACTATGAAGCCCAGGCTGGCCTCGAACTTATGATCCTTCTCCATCCACCACCCAGGTGCTGGAATTCATAGGTATTCTTCACCCTACCCATCCCTTCTGAATCTCTTAATGGTGTATTTTAATGATAGAAGTATTAATGTAGTCCAATTTATTAATCTTCCTTTAGGATTAGTTTGTTTTATGTGTACTGTTTACCAGCTGTTTGCCTACTAAGATGAAGATATGCTATTTTCTAGAAGCTTTGTTTTACCTTTTATATTTAGGTATAGGATCTATCTGGAACTGATTTTTGTACATGACATGATGGGATCCATTGATTTGATGCCATTTACTCAAAGACCAACCTTTTCCTTACTGTAGTCCAGTGGCATCTTCTGTAAATTAAGCAGCTTTACATGTTTAGGTCTACTTTTGGATTCTCTATTCTGACAGATTTGTCTAGCCTTGTGCTAATAATACTGCTATAATAATGGAGTTCTGTTTATATTTAGTGGAAGTCCGCTAACACCTCCCTCCCTTAAAAATGACTGGGAATGTATTGAATCTATACCTTAATTTGGAAAGAACTGACATCTGACCAATATTGAGTGTTCTAAACCATAATTATATCCACTTAAAGACCTTTTAAGTTTCTTGTCAGTAAGGTCCTTCTGTGCATAGCTCTTGCACATCTTTCATCAAAATAACCCCTGCGTATGATAGGTAGTATCTTCTCTAAATGCTACCTTACATGTTGCTGCTTATGAAAATGCAACTGCATTTACCTCATCTCCAGTGACATCACTATTTCTTATGGCTTGTCCCAAATCCTGATTCTTTCGAATTTTTCTAACCACAGACATACTCTTAGTAAGTTTTAGTCCTTCTAATTAATCCTTCTACTTCCTTGTATTTAAGGCTACAGATCTCTTTATAAATATAACATTAACCTGCATCTTATACATTTTAATGTATTTTCAAAACAAAGGACCATCTCAAGAGTTGAGGATACTCACATATGAAAGAAACCAAGGAAAACAACCCCCACTTCCCAGAACTGAGGAGCTTGAAAGGAAAACCGCAGGAGAAAATGGAGGTTGGGGTCCCCGCTCAAGTGGTAAAGCGCCTCCCTAGCAAGTGTGAGGCTCTGAGTTTAAACCCTAGTACCACCCAAACAAAAAACCAAGAGAATGTTTTAGGCCAGGTGCAGTGGCTCACGACTCTAATCTTAGCTAGTCAGGAGGCAGAGAATGGGAGGAATGCAGTTCCAGCCAGACCTCAACTCAGTGAAGAAGTCAGGAATGGTGATGTCACACCTGTAATCCAAGTTACATGGAGGCATAAGGAGCACTGTGGTCAAAGGCTGACATGGGCAAAAAGCTGAGACCCTGTCTGAAAAATAACCTAAAGCAAAAAGGACTAGAGGCAAAAAGTGGTAGAGTGCTTGCCTAGCAAACTCAAGGTCTTGAGTTCAAGCATCAGTACTACCAAAAAAAAAAAAAAAAAAAAGAAAATGGAGTATCTTTAGAAACATAACATATTGAACCAATGAAACAAGAGTGATTTAAAAAAGTTACTAGATGGGTTGGAAGATAAAGATATAGAAAGATAGGTTAAGTCTATCTGTTACTCAATACAGTATTTCCAAAGTATTGTTAGATAAATTAGTTGTTAAGCATCCTTTTTCAATATCTGAAGATATTTTAGCCACAAAATATCCAATTGCACTTAGAATATAAAGATGCAAAAGCTACTTATAGGAAAAAAAATTTAGTGTTTAGATAAGTTGGGAAAAACTATAGGCAAAAGTGAGAATATATCTTCAACCACAAATACAAGTACCAAATATTTGTAACTCAACATAAAACCCCTAAAAATAGCTTAGACCATAAGTGGTAATAATGTAGTATCAGTCACACTTTTTAAAATTTTATTCAGAACAGTCTTAATTAAAATAAATTTAATTGCAAAGAAAACCTGACTTAGAATTACACAGTATGAGATACTTTAAGTGCATGTGACTAACAGTACAAATACAGCAATTATAATACTGAAATCATAGAATAAACTCAAGGTACTAGAGTTAAGTTGTCAAAGACAAGGCCAACTTAATCTGTTCACAAGGTTAAACAATAAATTAATCCTTTAAAAATGTCCCTGAACCATTATAATTTTCTTTTTGAGTCTGATAGGCTAAAGGCTATTGAAGAACATGCAAAGGCAGCAGTGATGAACTAAAGTAAGAATTTGTGGATGAAATCAAACAGTTCAATACCAGCAACACAAAATACATTTGACAGCACAGCTAAATCAGTGTAAACATCTTTAAAATGTAACTACTGAAATTAGTAAAATGTTACACTTCATCTAACTACTTCAGATACCTGATAAGAATGCTTTTTGAAGATGCTTTTCTCTAACACAGGGACTTTCAAATGAATGCAAATGTACAAAACACATATTCTGGAAAATACACTATTGCAGAAACGTACACATAAGCAATACTACATGGACATGAAATGGTATGGTAATGTAAAATATAAAAAGAACAGAGAGATAACTGTTACTTCAAGACTTGAAGCAAAAATACAGAATACCAAGCTTATTACTTTATGTAACTACTAATCTAAGAATTGCCACTTAAAAATATTCATTCTTGCCAGGCGCTGGTGGCTCACACCTGTAATAATCCTGGATACTCAGGAGGCAAAAATCAGGATTGCAGTTTGAAGCCAGCTCTGGGCAAATAGTTCATGAGACCCTATCTTGAAAATACCTAAATAAAAAAGGGCTGGCAGAGTGGCTCAAGTGGTAGAGGGTCTGCCTATCAAGCATGAGGCCCTGAGTTCAAAACCCACTACCCTTCAACAAACAAAAAAATTTCATTCTTAAAAATACTTTTGGATAGACTACTATTTGACAGGTACTGAGCTAGGTGTACAATGATAAATAAAACAAATAAGTTTTTCTGCTAAGAAAGAAAGAAACCTTTAGTCTAAGAAATACTTAGATTATATCCTTACAAACTTAAATATGGCTTTTGGAGAAAAGGAAAATATTTTTCCAAAAAGATAACTTTCTAATTAACTGTTTATGCATATAAATAGTAACTCAAAAGTTCAGAGGATCATGTATACTTAGAAACACAAAATGCTAGTTGGCTATTTCAATGTACAGGTCATGAACTATAATTCCTGCATATTTTTCCTGAAGTATACTCATATGCAAAAAAATTTAAAGTAAACATTACATGTGTTTTTGCAGTTAGTCCACAGAAAAAGTTCCCGTTTATAAATGAAGACACCAAAGACAATTTAAATCAATCATATCATACACCTTACTTTCCCTTTTCTTGTTTAGAGTACTGGGTTGGGACCCAGGGCCTTGTGCACGTGGGAAAGCTCTCTGCACTGAGCTACAGCCCCACCCCAATACCACACAACTGCCATAGATACACACAAGCACATCAGCAAACCTGGGGACAAGCAACTGTGACTGAGTAGGAGGCTGATGTCATTAGTCTTCGTCATCTCTTTGCAAAGGTACTATCTGAATTTCTTTGGCTATCCTTTCAGCTAACGCTCTACTATTTGCAGCGATTATTCTTCGTGACATCAAATCAAATGGTCCACCTAAAATCAAACCAAAGATGCAAAATGGTTATATTCTATACAAAAATAATTTTGGAAAAATAGGTATAGCAGTATGTTCCATGGCCAATGCTAACATTTTAGTATGTTCAATTTTCTTAAAAAAGAACAAAAAAACTGTCAACTACAATGTTCAAATTCTGACAGTACATAACTGAGGTTCTAAGCATCTTTTTTGAGTAAATACCGGGACAAGTGGGGATCACAACTCACACCATCCAGAAATCATTTTCTCTCCTTGTTACTTCTTTGTGCACCTGTGTTACCTCTTTATGATTTGAGGATCTATGGACAGGAAATGTGACTCCGGTGCACTTTCACACCACTCTCTTTCCCATTTCTTATTTCTTTATTGCTTTTCTCCCTAGTTACTGGTAATTCTTTTACCCCACCCTTTAAAATTTCCCATCATCTCAAAGCTAACTTCCAATCAGGCCCAAAGCAGAAAGCAGTCGTAGAGGAAGTCCATTGTCAACTGTCCCATTGGTCCCCAGAGAGCTGGTGTTATAAGCCTCAGGTTCTGACTGCTGAGACTTCTCCACAGCTCTCAGGAGTCACTGACACATCTGAAAGGGGTCAGCCATTTTCCATCATCAATTCCACATCACCATTAGCTCCTATCCTTGCCTGCCTGCCTCCTTTCGTTTATTTTGATTTTGCAGAAAATTTCATAGCTTGTTTTTCTTTAAAAGTTGTAGCTGTATCAACCACTAAAAAAACCAATCACTAATATAGAGAGGAAAGTCTAACAGGCATGAAGAAAAAAATGCCTTTTAGTTCCATGAGTGTACCTGTTACATCCATTAGCACTCCCCCGGCTTCAGTGACGATGATGCCAGCTCCTGCCATATCCCAGCAGTGAATTCCCATCTCATAATAAGCATCTGCCCCTCCAGTTGCCACCAGGCACATATTAACAGCTGCCGTTCCAACACTCCGGATTCTAACATTTAAAAGTAAGAATGGAAAAAAATCCTTTCAAATAAGGCATTTCTTCGATTGAGATAACTTGATCCAATCTAAAGGATAAATGTGGAAAAAAGTGGTCTCTAATTTTCAGATATGTAAAATCTTATTATCATAGTATACTATATAAATCACAAAACCAATCTTCAGTAATTCAGCAAGGAACATTAGAACAGCGATTTTTTACAAGAAAAGCACTAAAGAAAAGGCTGTAATTCTGCTATAATGGCATTCATATATATCCATATTTGTCTAAATCTAGGCATACGATTTACGTTATTTCACAAACATTCATACTGCAGTGCAAATAGTCTCTAGGTGTAGAAACACCATATTAGTCATTTCAATTGGGTATGCATCATACATGTGTTAAAGGGACAACAGACTGCCTGGGTTCCCAAGTGATCAAAGTTAGTACCACTTCTAATGGGGCAAACAGGCACCAATTACCTCCTGAAATGATGCACTGAGAAGGAAAGAACGTTACTTTTGTGGCATTCCTGCCAAAAAATGCAGGATCCACAGATAATCAAGAGGAACCCAGACAGACCCAAATTAAGAGACATACTAGACATACATACTACAAAACAATTGGCCCATACGTCATAAAAATGTCAAGTACATTACATGCATATATGAAAATGTTACAATGAAACATTATTTTAGATAATTAATATACACTAGTAAAAACTGTTAAAATGTCAAGATCATAAAAGACAAAGGACAATGCAACCACTTTAGCTTAAAGGAAACTGGTGAGAAATGAAAACTAAATGTAATGTGTGATCCTGGAATGGAACATGGATTCAGATTTTTTTTTTTTCCTTTTTCTTTTATTATTCATATGTGCATACAAGGCTTGGTTCATTTCTCCCCCCTGCCCCCACCCCCTCCCTTACCACCCACTCCGCCCCCTCCCTCTCCCCCTCCTCAATACCCAGCAGAAACTACTTTGCCCTTATTTCTAATTTTGTTGTAGAGAGAGTATAAGCAATAATAGGAAGGAACAAGGGTTTTTGCTGGTTGAGATAAGATAGCTATACAGGGCATTGACTCACATTGATTTCCTGTGCGTGGGTGTTACCTTCTAGGTTAATTCTTTTTGATCTAACCTTTTCTCTAGTACCTGTTCCCCTTTTCCTATTGGCCTCAGTTGCTTTAAGGTATCTGCTTTAGTTTCTCTGCGTTAAGGGCAACAAATGCTAGCTAGTTTTTTAGGTGTCTTACCTATCCTCACCCCTCCCTTGTGTGCTAAAGCTTTTATCATGTGCTCAAAGTCCAATCCCCTTGTTGTGTTTGCCCTTGATCTAATGTCCACATATGAGGGAGAACATACGATTTTTGGTTTTTTGAGCCAGGCTAACCTCACTCAGAATGATGTTCTCCAATTCTGAAAAAATGTCTTAATATTAGGTTATGCATCAATGTTAATTTCTAATTTTTATAATGGTACAGTGGTTATGTCAGAGAATGTCCCTTTTACTAAAGAAATAAACATGTTACTGTATATTTAGGAGAAAAGCTCATCACTTCTCCAAGTTACTTTCAAATGGTTTTACTCAAACTCCTTTTGTAACTATTTAAACCTCTGGAAATGAGACACTGAGCTCTGTTCACCAAGATCTTCCAGTTTTTTTAAAAATAGCAAATATGACTAATGTGGTATTTATTTTGTAGCTAAAAAATAAAAATTGCAACTGTGTTCTTCATGCCAAAACAATGACATGATGCCTTTGACTGAAGAATGTTTCCATCCTATATTTTCGCTACATAACAAATTCAAGCAAAGAAAGAAAAGGGAAGGAGGAAGGGAGGAAAGGAAGGAAGGTATTTTCCCTCTTCCCACATAGGCTATGTGATAGTTTACAGCTCATGGTCTAGAATAACATAAGGAGATATTTCACAAGTAATGTCTTGGTATTGTATTCAGGGTTGGAGCCCTAGGCGAGAACAACAGTGACTGCAGCAGTGATGCTTCCATTTCTAGTGGACATTGTGGGTATGGGAGTCAGCAGAGAATATCCTTCCAGGGACAAGTACTTCCACAGGACTACCAGCAAGATTCCTCAATTAGTAAGTAATTAAGGCTGTGGTCTGGCTGGTGGAGTGGCTCAAGCGGTAGGGTACCTATCTAGCAAGTGTGAGGCTGTGAGTTTGTCTCACAGTATCGCCAAAAAAAAAAAAAAAAAAAAAAAGAGGAAAAGGCTGCGGACTGTATCCTATACAGTATACAGTATAGGATGCTCCCATAGAGCTAGTATGCTGTAGAGTAAAAGGAACTATCTTTGGTCTCACAGAGACTTGAGTTTGCTCCCATGCTCAGCTGCTTAAAAATCATAATCTTGAAAAGGTTTCTTTTACTTTTAGCTTTGTTATCAAAAGGATACCAATTTACCTTGGACCACTACTGTAATGATTACAAAGACCATATTAAAGCACCTAGCAGAGTGCCTGGCATATAAAAGGATCCTCTAAAAAGTAGCAATGTTTGCCGGGTGCCAGTGGCTCATGCCTGTAATCCTAGCTACTCAGGAGGCATGGTTTGAAGCTGGCCCTAGGCAAGTAAAGGCCAAATAGTTCCATGAGACCCTATCTTAAAAAAAAAAAAAAAACCACAAAAAAAGGGCTGGTGGAGTGGCTCAAGCAGTAGAGCATCTGCTTAGCAAGCGTGAGGCTGAGTTCAAACCCCAGTGCCTTAAAAGAAAAAGTATCAGTGTTTATGATGAAACTGTTCTCTAAACTATGATGTCAGAAACATAATAGACAGCACATTTCTCTTAAATGAATTTCTCAAAATTATTCAAAGACAATTGAACCACCTTAATTTACTTTGTCTCATAAACAAAATATAGTTAGGAAGCTATTAGACCAATTCTACTTGTTGAAGGCATTCAGCCTCTCAAATGAGACTCTCTTTGGTCTCATTTTGTTTTGTGTAAGTAACTGTGAAGCCACACTGAAAAGTTGAATAGCCAGATAAATGAAACACATCATAAAAAGAAATCAATAAATCAGTACCTCTCCTTAGTAACATTTTCCTGGTTAAACTTTACTTCATCTAATAGTGAAACAAAAGATTAAGCTGTAAACCACTTGCATCTCTTTTATGGCTAACATAACCATTTTATTGCCCATGGTTAAAGTCCCTGCTTCAAAACAAGAAACTATAGCGTAGGTTTTTATAAGCCATATTGCTTTTGCCTCAAGGACATCACTCTGGAAGGTTCTGAAGCGTATGGCAGTGATCCTTTTACATTACTTATTACTATATAGATCACAGACCTGCAGCCCATAATCACAGTGTGCACATGGTGAAAGTGTACGTGGAATGTCTTGACTCGTAAGAGAATGTCTTCTCTTAAAGAGAAGTTGAATACTGGAGAAAGAGAAATGAACTGGAAGCCAGGGCTGTAATCCTATCTAAATCCAGCTGTGTGGTCTCCTGAAGCAACTTCATTTCTCTAAACCTCAGTTAACTTGTGTACAAAATAAGGCTGGATTATTATATTAGATGGTCTTTGACTAACTCTAAGAGTCTTGTGCCTCAGTGATGATATTTTCAGAAGAAAAACAATAGGAACAGTTGGCAATAAAATAAAAATATGTTTTTGAGACGGGGTCTATGTCCAGGCTATCCTCAAAATTGCAATCCTCCTGCCTCAGCCTCTTGAGTAGCTAGAACTACTGGTGAGTGCTACCAGACCTGGCAATAATTTTTTTTTAAACTCCTTTACCTTTATATCTGTCATTACAAAAGGATTCTGAAGTTTGGAGCATAATGGCATCTGATTTTGAAACTCCCTATTACCTTCTCAAAAACTAAAAATAAAATTAAATCAACATGGAAGACAAAACCTACAGGCCCACTCTCTCAGTATTTCTAGAAGTCAGAAAATAAAATTTCTCAAGGTACCTGTATGTAGAAGGAAAAACTAACAAATGAATTTTAACTGCACTAAAAGCCTGAGGATGCAGAGGAGGGGAGAAGAGGCATAAAAGATTTCTTATAAAAAGCTGAGAGGAGCAGAGGACCTGAAATTCTTAGCTCTGGCTTTAAGGAACAGTTGGAAAATATGCACAACTTGACCAGGCAGTTTTGGAAAAGCTGTGATAGTGAAGAGTCAGATGAGGCAGGACAGCTGGTACCTCTCAGAGACAAGCAGTGAAGGAGGAGTAGGAACTCAGAGAGAATTAGAAGAATAAGGAGCTCTGATCACAAAATGAACAGAAACAGAAATGAGGTAGGCTTTAGTTTTTGTGCTATATGATCTCCCTTAAAAAAAATCAACAATGAAGCAGAAGAAAACTGAAGCATCAATCCAATTTGAATTAAATATCCTCAAAAGAATGCTTTGAGTATGGAAAAGCATTAAATCAGAAGTCTAGAAGTTAAGTGTGTCTGGTCGTACATGCTTGTAATCCCAGCACTTAGGAGGCAGAAGCAGGAATAAAGGTTCAAGGGCCGGCCAGGGGTTGCATTACAATCCTAGCCTCCTAGGAGGCTGAGAGTAGGAGGAGCAAGGTTTGAGGCCAGCGCAGGTCAACAGTTCCCAAAACCCCATTTCTAAAATAACCACAGCAAAATGGACTCAAACAGTAGAGCATGTGCTTTGCAAGCTCAAAGCCCTAAGTTCAAACCCTAGTCCCACTAATAATAATAATAAAAAAAAAAAACAGTTCAGAGCTATAAAATAGTTTGGGCTACAAAGTCAGACTCTTTCTCAAAAAACACAAATAATGAAAACAAACCCAAAAACTAGGAGCAGAAATAGACCCTAAGAAACAAAATTTAAAAATAAACTCAAGCTGATTGAACTCAGGGAAGAAATGGGGGAAAAAAGGCAAAATCATGCAAAGAATAAGGAATAAATCACAAGACATCCAGAGAAGACCTGAACGCTTAATAAAGGAAAATGAGTAAAAGCAATAAAGACAGAAGATAAAAAAGACAGAAAGAAAGTGGCTGAAATGGAAGATGTAAAGGAAGCTGAACATTCCTCCTTTTGGTGTCTCTGATGAAGAAAATAAGAATAGTAGAGGCAAACTAATGTTCACAATCAGAACTCAAGAAAACTTCCCAGAAATAAAAACATGAATCTCCACACTGCAACAGAAAACTGATGCACAATGATGAGATATATCTTTAGCCTTTAAGCATTAAGGAAAAAAAAAAACTGTCAAAGCTTCCAAGTAAAAGATAAAATAACTCACCAGGCGCTGATGGCTCACACCTGTAATCCTACCTACTCAGGTTTGAAGCCAGCCTGGGCAAACACTTTACAAGACCCTATCTTGAAAAACCCCATCACAAAAAAGGGCTGGTAGAGGGGCTGAAGGTGTAGGCCCTGAGTTCAAACCCCACTATAGCAAAAGCAAAAAAAAAAAAAAAGATAAAAATAACTCAAAAACAATACAAAAAACAAGGCAACAGTGAAAGAACATTTTCAAGAAGAATCATACTTTCTCCTGCTAAGGACATTCCTTCATGTTGGAAGGTCACAGAAAAAGTTTGGAATATACCAAGCTTCAAAGAGCACTGTGTGCACATGCCCTCCCCATGAAATTCACTACTGGATGAGCTTCATCCCATCAAAAGGTGTCTGGACAACTTTACAAAAGTCTGCAATCATTTTATAAAGTCAACAAGAATGAAAATCAAAGAGTGGCACCTTAGCTGAGGAATATGTAAAACTGACATTTTGACAAAATAAAATGCAACTTAATACTGGATGATAAGAGGAAGAAATAGGGAGAAAGAGGGCTGAGGGTGTGTCTCAAGTGGTAGAATGCTCAGATGTAAGCACAAGGTAGTTCTGGGTTCAATCCCCAGTACTGCAAAAACAAGAGAGAGAAAACATAATCACTATTATATAGGCAGTAAGTGCAAGCCAAAGAATTCTGGAACCTTTACATATAGTAACCAGTAAGTAAGAAAATAGTACTGAAGACATTATAGGAAGCTTCAATATGAAAGAAATCCACTAGAATAAAACTTAACCTTTCACAAATACAAGAAATTTTAAAAGAGAGAACTCACCAAATAAACACAGTATGAATAATATAATAATTATGAGATACTACAACAGAATGGAAGTCAAACAAAATAGCCTATCAACATATCAATAGTCTTGTCTGTTAAAGAAAGATTTTCAAATTGACTTATGAAGTAAAACTCTACTGTATGCTGTGTGTTGGTGATACACTTAAAACATGACAACAAAATTTAATGCCAAGCTTGGGGTACAACTCAGTGGCAGAGTGTGTGCTTAGCATGCATGAAGCCCTGGGATCAATGGCAGTACTACCGTCCTCCCAAATGTAATGCCTACTGGCCTTATGCTGAATCCTGCACTGGAGGAAGGAAATGCCATAAAGGACACCATTAGACCAGCTGACAAAACTGAATATAGATGGTAGGTCAACAGAAGTGCATTTATGAAATCCACAATGTACCAAGGTTAGAGAAGAGAACATTCCTATTCATAGGAAAAAAACTATGGGCTTAGGAATAAAAGGCCATGAAATTTACCCTGAAATGATTCAGGGGAAACACCCCCATGCACACACGCATGCGAGTAAAAACAGGAATGCTAAAATGATAAAGAAAGTGGGGAAAATGCTAACAGTAGGTCCATCTGAGTAAAAGCTACACTGTTATTCTTTGTGTTGTTTTATCTGACAAATTTTTTGTTAAATCTGGAATTATTTCCAAGTAAAGTTTCCAAATTACATTATAAAATCAGAATTATGGTACTGACTGCATGTCCATTCCCTTTATAATGTTAAATTACCTGGAACTTACCCATGAATAGGAATGGAAAAAAGCTTTTCCATATTAGAAAGAACGATTCTTATAGTCTCTGGAGTTCTGGAGGAGCCCAACTCTGTCACCAACAGTGATTTGGTAATATCTGAAAAGGAAATGTTTTAGATAATCACTGGGTTTTAATAATTAGAGCCCTAAATATCAAATACCAAATACTTTAATAAAAAGGAAATGAACTACAATCTACTTTCAAATTACATATTAGAGGGAAAGATTGTAAGTCAGGATTCCAAACTCAGACTGTTTTGCACACATCTTTAAGATCCTGTTGTACTTAAAAGAGTCTGAAAGAGCAAACTCTGGAAAATGTTGGATGTGGTTAATGAATGAAAGATGACCCAAAACTCACACGACCCATCAGAATGAAAGAATTAAAATGTCAACAATCTAGCTCACAAAAAAAGTATAGCTTATTTCTGAATCTGCAGGTCCACATCCAGACTCAACCAATCTCAGATTGAAAACATTGCTCCCTTAAAATTGCTTCTGTACTGAATATGTAGACTTTTCCCCATTCTAATTTTTCTTAAGCAATACAGTTTAACAACTATTTATGTAGCTCTTACATTTTATCACTTGTTATAACTAATGTAGAGCTGATTTAGAGCAAACGGGAGTGAGTAGGCTACATACAAATATGCTTTCATTCTATATGAGGTACTTCAGCATTCAGGGATTTTGGTATCAACAGGAGGTCCTGAACCTATCTCACCCGCAGATACCAGGGGATAATTTTATACATACACATTTTACAATTTTCACCTTTAATATACTTTATTTTCAATTTATTGCCTAATAACTGATCCAGTGGCATCAATTCCACAAGGGGAGGAAGACAGACAGACAGGTAGAGAGACTGGTTGATCAATTTTCCTATCTCCACCACTTAAAAAAGTATGTTTGCTCAATTACATTTGCTTTCCCTGCTTCCACTATCACATTCAAAATTGAAGTCAAAATATAAAAGTAGAAAGAAAACAAACACAATTTATGACTCAGTTAATACTTGAATAATTCTATAGCTTAATACTTTTTTTAAATCTGTAAGATAGGAGGACAGAAAATTAACTGCACCAAAAATTGGAGAATGAACCTACCTTCTTGTTGTGAAACCTGTAGTTTCTGGCCATTACAAAAGGCACCTTTTCCTTTCCTGCCAGTATACATCTTATCTTCCACACAACTGTACACAACTCCAAATTCCATCTGCAGAGGAAAAAAAGTTTCTTTTACCAAATCGGTACTTGTTTTTCCTAATAACATAACAAGAATATCCAGTATTGCTGACTAATAATGTATTCAAAAGGCTAAACTGTGAGAAACTGAAAATGGTAATCTCTGGCCCTACTGCAGGTCATGAGACCTTCAATCCAGCACTCTCCTTCCACCCATGTCTAAATGTAGAGCTCCCACATTACCTCTCTACCTTAGTCTCGGGTGGAAACACTTTCTCATTTTTTATACTGACCACGTCCTCTTTTGTTGTGATAACTACTCATATCCATTCTCTGACAAACTGCTCCATCAGCCAATTCCTCTACCTTTACATTTCTCTTCTGGTACGTCCTTACCGAGTTTTTCCCTTCCTTGCTGCTGTGGTTTGAATGTCTATCCCCTCCAACACTCCTGTTGAAATGTAATACCTATGAATGGTACTGTGAGGTAAAGCCTTTAAAAGGTGATTGGGCCATGAGGGACCCAATCTACCACAGATTTGGGGACTGTGTTCTCTCTCATGGGTCTTTTCCCAATGAGGATTTAGCCTTCCTTCCCTCTAGAGGACGCAGCATGCAAAGCATCATCTTGATAGTCTCAGGAAAACACAGAACTTGCTAGAATTGACTAAAATTCCCAGTCCCCAGAACTGGCGCCAATATATTTCTACTTATTATAAATTACCCAGTCTCAGGTATTCTGTTATAGCTGTACAAACAATGACACTTACAAAACCTTCTTTCCCTTCACTATCAAAGAGTAGTCTACATGCTGGATCTTCTAATCCTATTAATGTTACAATTTGGGTTCTTCCCTTATCACTTATTCTTCTGTAACTCCTGGGCAAAGAGTATCAATGAACTCTTACTGACCAAATGTCTTACACAAAGAGTTGGAGACTGCTGGCCATCATCCACAGTTAATCTGATACTTCCATGTTTCTGATGTACTCTCTTAGTTGTGCCTCACTTGTGAGTCCATCTCAGAGTCATTATTTTGGAACCTTCTTTTCTTCCCTAGCCCGTAAGAGTTATAAGCCTCAGGCCTTTTTTCCTTTTTCTATTGTTTCCATTTCCTTTTTAGCTCTTCAAATTCTTAGAGGTTGATCCTTAGTCCAGATATTCAGTTACCACCAATAACTCTGGTTCCATCAACCCTATCATCAGAGGTAAGAACTAATGCTTCAGAACTAGTTTTGCAGAAACTTCTCCAAGTTGTTCTGATTAAAATTCTTTTCTTTTTTATATGACAAACCTCTATTTTCCCAAGTGCCACTTCACATAGCGAACTTCTAAGACCCTTTCTGTTGTGCAGCTTTCCTCAACTCACTATTGACAGAATTGCCCTCTTCTATCATCCACTGTATTTTTTTTTATGGTTCCACTACATATTCTTTACCTGTTCACATACCTGACTGCACCAAACTGTGAGTTCAATGGCAGGAACAGCATATAGCCCAGGGCTGATGACATGCTAAGTGTTCATTTAGCTCCTTTTGGATATTTTCACTGATTAAAACAACTCTGGGATAAAGCTTTCATTTGCACTAATTTGTATTTATTTATTTTCTTGTGGTTCTGCGGATTGAACTCAGGGTCTTCCATGTTGTTAGGCAAGTGCTCTACCACTGAGCTACACCTCCAGTCTTTTTTATTTCCAATTTCTTTAGGGGAAGGGGCACTGGAGTTTGAACTCAGGGCCTCAGCACTTGTCAGGCAAGAGCTCTACTACGTGAGCCACACCCCCAGCCCTTATTTTACTCAATTCTAATGTAATTCTTTTGATGTTTATTATAAAAGCATTCCTAGGCTCAAATTCCACGACTTCCATGAAGCATTGTATTTATTTATTTACTTATTACTAAATAACACAGGGACTCACACTTGCTCGGCAAGTGCTCAATCACTGAGTTGTGTTCTAGTCCTTTTGCTTTTAGTTTGTTTTTCAGATAATGTCTCATGCTAACTTTCCTTGGGACAGCCTTGGACTGGCCATGATCCTCTTACCTCTGCCTCCTATACAGCTGGCATTACAAGTGTGTGCCATGTCTTTAAGATAGGGTCTCGCTAACTTTTGCCTGGGTTAGCTTCAAACCATGATTCTCTTATCTCCACCTTCCAAGTAGCTGAGACTAGCTGTCCATGAAGCATTTTAGATCACATCAACTCCTATCATATCTGACTCTATCACATATATAATGTTGATTAGATACTAAGTTGTATTTCATTTACTTGTGGTTTTTTTTCCTTTCAACTCTTATTTCTTGGAAACATTAAATTTTCTTCACTACAAGTACATAAGGAAAATTTTAACAGTCATGTAGCATATTTTCAAAATAATGCAATTATATAAATTGAATGTAGAGACAAATCTGAATTGTTTTAGGGAAATACATTTACTCTGCCTTAGAAAGTAAGAGCAAGGTGTTTTATGAACCATATATTTAAAACAACATACCTTTTTATTTACAACAAAGCCAATCGAAACAGCTACAAAAGGAAATCTTTAAAAAAGAGAGACAAAACCCACAAATTTACCAAGACAGAACTTAATTTTAATAAAACTCATATTTTCATAAGTACTTATAAAATCACGAAGTCTCATCCCTCCCCCCTAAAAGATGCAAGAGTGTACAGTAAGTGAACATAGGGAAGAAGAAGGTAGCATGTGAACATATACATATGAACATATACATACAAACAGGATGCTTAAGAGACATGAGATGTGTATGAAAAGAGCCGTAAGAAACTAGTAACAACGATCATGTCTAGAAACAGACCCAGGTTAATGGGGGACAGAAAGAAGAAGACAATTTGTACTGCATGCCACTTTATTGCTTTCCAATGTCAAATGCCGTGAGTATAGTAACTATCTAAACTACTTTTTTTCAGAAAGTAAATTTTTAAAAATTTTGAAATTGATCAAGGTTAAAAAGAAAGGGCTCCTTTCTTTTTTCCCAGTCTGGATCCATGATAAACACAGTATTAAACAGAATAAATAAGTTGTTGCTACTTTCCTCTATTTCAACATCAAACTTTGCACTTCACATCTGAAAAGAAAACTGTTAGCCTCAGTGACTTCTATGTCTGCACAGGTGGTAACATTAGACAAAACTTTTAAATATTTAACACTAAGTTTTTATTTTAACAAAAAATAGGATCGAGCTGTACATACTAAATTGTTTCAATAGATCATATGCAGCTTCCTACGTTTAAAAGATACAATATTCTATCACATACAGACTCTACACAGCTACATGACTACTGCGATCCCAAACTAGGTACTTAGCTTAATTAACTCTTGTCAGAGGCTTTCTTCTAATGATAGTAACTGAGTTACAACATACTCACTCTGTGGCAGGTACTATAGCAAGTTCTTACATAAATGTACTACTCAGCGAGTTCAACAAGGAACAATTCTCTGAGGCAAATGACATTAATATGGCCATTTTCTAAGTATTTTTTAAAACTAAGGCTTAGAAAGGTTAACTAATTTGTCCAAAATCCCAAAGCAGCTAATAACAAAACTCCAGGATATTCAAGTCTTAAGTCTGTTACTCCTAAACCCATGTCCCTTTTAACACAGTTTTCTCTCTTGGACTGAACGAAGTAAGTTTATAAACAAAACTTTAATAGTGACCTTATTAATTTCTTTATTCATTTCAAAGCATTAATGTTGCTTCCTTAAATTTTTATATGGCTCCCACAGGATGAAAAAGAATGGTGAACTTTGCAGCAGAAGGTAAGTCCACAACTTTACCATTTCTTCACCATGACATTGGATGAAAGGTCTAAATATACAGTTGCTCTACAATTATGTTTTATATATACTTTCTCAGAATAAAGAAGCAGAAACAAATTACATGATTCCCTGAAGTGCATGTTTTCCTGAGCAGAATACTCTAAAGGTCCACCCAGTTGATATACAAACAGTAATTCTATTAAAAATTTAAAAACATACCTATGTACAAAGTTAGTTGTTCCGTCAATAGGGTCAATGATCCATGTGGGATTGTCGGTTAAGACACTTTTTTCCCCAGCTGCTACAGACTCCTCACCAATGAAGCTAAAAGAAAGAAAACACACACTCGTAATCTCTACATTGCTTTCAACAATTTTCAAACCACAACATTTCCTTAGCTAAAGTCTACTGTAAAACATAAGAAGGTTTGTACACTATCTTTCTACTGCTTCTCCCTTTTTCTTCCCATAAAAATTGATGTAAGTCACAGCACTTTATTTTATTTCTCTGAGACCAAAGGCATGTGAAATGTTATAGAAGTTAAAATTCTAAACTGCAATTCCAGGGTAAGTAATGGTACACACAACATACATACACATGCATCTGAAAAAGGCATTTGTTGCAAATGAGATCATTAAGGAAATGTGGTGATTTTTAAGTAAGCCCACAAATTCTCTCATACTTCTTATAAGATACAGAGACTCATACACCTTGTCTTGAGTGTGAGCTGGACACAGAGACTTGTTTCTAACCAACAAAATGAAGCAGAAGTGACAGTGTACAAGCTTTGGTGGCTAGTTTGCCAAATGGCTGGATGACTTCCATCCTATCACTATTTCTCCCTCCCTGCCCCAGGAGAAGACCGTGGCTATGTTGTGAGCTACTCTGAGCAGAGGCCCACATTATTAGGAACTGAGGGAAGTTGTCAGCAGAAAGCCCACCAGGAAGTGAAGTCTGCCAACAATTACAGAAGTGAATGGATCCTTCAGCACTAGTCAAGCTTCAAAATGAATGTAGCCTTGAGTTAAGTTTGACTGAAACTTCATGAGACCTTAGCCAGAACCATGCAGCTAAACTACTCTCATATTTCCAGCTCCAGTGAAACTCAGAAAATAAAAAGCTTGTTGTTTAGAGCTCTAAGTTTTTAGGGTAATGAGCTTTGCAATAATAGATACTACTAATACAGAGAACGGTAAATAAGTTATGAGAAAGCAAACCATTCACCAAAATTACTGTATGTACATGCCTTCCTAAAACATGCTATACAATAAATCTTTTGTAAATTTCATGAATGATGTTTGGGTTCATCTGCTTTCTACTTTTCTATTTTCTTTTATTTATTTTCTATTATTCAATACTGACTAATAATTATTTGCCATTTCTTTTTTTTTTTTTTAATCTTTTTCTCTTACCTATAAACCTTTTTACTGGAGAAAGTATATTTAGCCATAATTTTAAATATGATTTTCTTCTCTGGTATCACTAGAAAGAAGTACAGAATGACAGTGCAAAGACATTAAAATGATAACAATGCATTTGTTTTTCAGGCTGGAGATCAATTCAGGGCCTTGCACATGCTAGGCAAATGCACTGCCACTGAGCTACATCCCCAGCTCTTAGTCTTTTGAGATACGGCCTGAATGCGTGGCCTAGACTGGCCTGAAACTCCTAATATTTCTGCCTCCATCTCCCAAGTGCTGGAATTAGAGGTGTACACACACAACCATGTCTAGGTGATGACAACATTTCAACTATATTTCTGCTGTGAGAAAACACTGATTTTAGAGTGTTCTCTCAAACTTCCTAAAGCTACCACTTCTCTACTATATAAAGAAATCTGCAATGCAGAGAATATAATTGAGCTTTCCAATCATGCCTATGGCAGACATTTGCTTCCCACCGTCTAAAAACATTATCTCTCTTTCTCTGTTTTACTTTTTGTTGCTGTTGTTGTTTGGGTTTTTTTTTGTAGTACTAGAACTTGAACCCATGGAATCTCACATGTTAGGCTCTACCACTGTAGCCACACCCCAAGCCCTTTTCATTTTGTATTCTGTTTCTGAGTGAGAGAGGGTCTCACTAACTTTACCTGGGCTGGCCTGGAACTTGCAATCTTCCTGTCTCTACCTCCAGAGTAGCTGGGATTACAGGCATGAAGTACCACCCCCAGCCCAAGCATTCCTCTTACTATAAAGTAATCTAAACATTCCCTCTTCTGATCCCTGGCACCTTAAGCACAGGCAAACAACCTATCCTCAGCAACCACATGTTCCTGCTCAGGATTTGTTATCTTACACTAATGAGGTAAAGATACAAGGTAGGCTACAAAGTATTCAAAACCATTAGTCAAGAGCAAGGCCACCATGCATCCTAAGCCATGGTTTCTGTGTCATCTATAGGTAAGAGTTCTTCTCCCCATGATATTGATACCTCAAAATAAGGTTAACTAAAGTCAGGTTCTGTGTCTAGCATTAAAAGTTTTGCCTCATACAATAACTCTAACCTAGGGCTTATTTTATCATTTGAAATCGATATAATAAATACCTGTGAGATGGATACTTTTCCTTTATGGAAGAGATGAGCATTTTTTCAACTTTTTGGTCAGTAGCAGTTACCAAATCAGCTGGAGAACTTTTAATCATAACATTCATTTCATGTTTTAGAGCTTCACAAATCACCTAAAAAGCGATGAGAAAAGGTGTAAGTTATTTTAAATCAAACAAAAAGATAAAAACACAAATGGTTTAAGATACTCAATCTATCTTACATGACAGTCTTGAAAATTTCTTACAAAAATGTCTCTAAAACAAGACATTTCATGGTTATGACCTTCTAGGTACAAAATTATATAATCTTACATCCTATTTTGGATTCACAACTGTCATCACAAAAAAGCTTAATGATAGAAAATTGGAGTATCAGGTTGAGTATATGTTCAGTGATAAGAGCACTTGCCTAGCATGTGTGAGGCCCTCGGTTCCAGAAAAAAGAAATGGAAAAGACAACAAAAGGAATTTTCACTCTATTTAAAGCATTTAGCAAAATGAAAACAGATGTAAATTAATCAAAATATGCATTGTATTTAACAGGGCAACCATGACACCCATCACATATAGCTGATGTAGTTCATACCTCTCCAGCTTGTCTTGCTAGGGTGACTGCATAATCCATGCACTCCTGCCAAGGATCAGCCATCTTCTGAATATAGTCAACACAGATAAGCACAAAGTGGTTACAAATCTCCAGAAGTTATAATTAGAGACCAGTTAGTTCACAAAAGCATCTCAATTAGCAACAGACGTTTATTTCAGGATTTACCACCTTCCCTATTAGAGTTCAATTTTTGCCCCCCAGGATTTACTTGTGAACCCAGTAAAACTCATTCTGTGCCTAATACTTCATTCTATTGCAGAAATATTTTCATAACAAAAAATTCCCAGTACCCATATCCACAGTACCAAAAAAAAAAAAAACCAGAAAAAAAAGCTAATAATAGGTTTATGATGGAGAATAAAGCAAAAATAAGAGAAAAAACACTGGGAACACTGAAATTAAAGACACTCTGAAGGCAAAGGAACAAAAGGTATATACACTAATCATTGAATACCACACAGATGCTTTATACATGTGATTTTTTTAAAATAAATTTGTAAATATGAAAATTTTTAGCCTTAGAGATGAGAAATAATTTGCCTCATGTTATATAACCAGATGACAAAGACACATTTTTAAACTTCTGATTTTAAAATCCAATGGTCTTTTGATTACAACATTCTGAGATATCAGGAATAAAAATATAATAAAAAGGCAAAAATGAAATTTACTGACCAAGAGTCAGAGAGAAGAAAAATACAACATAGTTTTGTATTTTCTGACCTGTCCACTTTCCACTGACTTCTGATGGCTCACCACTGGCTCTAGCACTCTAAAACCTGTACTCAGCACGGGAAGCATTGGAAGCTGTCATGCTCAGAACATGGGGCACTCTGTATGAAGTAATCTAACCTTTCCTTCTTTACAAATAAGAATAACTGACACGGAGTTACATCTTGAAAAGTACTCAAAAATCTCTATCCAGCTGTTCACATTACAGGACTCGAAAGGGGATAGAGCAGGGGACAGGACAAAGAATAAATACAGTGAGTTTCTCCTGAGTGTTTTTTCTTCTTCCCCTCTTTCCCGTTTTTTTTAAGACCAGGGTCTCACTGTGTAGCCCAGGCTGGCCTAGAACTTGTGATTGTAGTTCCTCAGTCTCCCAAGGGCTGGAATTACAGCAGTGCACCATCATGCCCAGCACCTTTTCTTCTTGATATAAGCATTTACATAATTTTTAAAGGATGTTAATTTTTTTGAGTTATTTAAGTAACTCCTTAAAGATCTTAAAGAATGGCTTTGAAGCTTTTGTCCATTCCTCCCCCTATTCCACTATTCTTGTGTCATAACTAGAGGTTCTCACAACTGTCTGCTTCCTTACCCGAAACTTTGTTCAAGTCACCCACACTCCACCTTCTGAGAGCACAATATAACTCCTATCAATTCATCAAAGCCAATTTCAAAGGCATCTTCTAGTGATTCTTCAGCAAGAAGTTGTTTAATCATTCAATAGATTATTTGCTAAATACCTGTAATATGCTATATACAATAGCTCCACGTGAAAAACAAGGTCTAGTTCACACTTTCTTTCTAGTGGGGAGTCAGGTGTTAATCACAAATGTAATAAATGCTAAGTAGAAGAAATAGAATGTGTACCTACAACAGGGAGCTGTCACCAGACTTAGGCATCAGAGGTTCCTCTGAGAACAGGATTGAATCCAGATATGAAGGACAAGTAAAAAGGCATTACCAGGTCTGGAGGTGTGGCTCAAGTGGTAGTGCATGTGCTTTATAAGCACAAACCCCAAACCCCAAACCCCAGTTCTTCAAAGAGCGGGGAGAGAGAGAGAGAAAAAGAGAGAGAGAGAGAGACATTAACTCAACTGCAGGATTATACAAGAAGAGTAACTCAAAAGGTCCAAGTGGGATACCTCAGAGATCAAGGGAAATGGTAAGAGATAAGGCTGGGAGAGGTAGTAGGGATCATCCTTTACAGGCCTTAGAGATAACATTTTATTTGAGAGTTATGAGGAATCATTTCATTGTGGCTACTGAACAAAATGGATTGAACAGAATGGAGGGAAGAGCAAAGGTCAGATTTAAATTCAAGGTGTAATAGTTACCCAATGGCTGGTTTAAAGCTGGGAAGGGAGTTTTCATAGGCAAATTGAGAGTATCTGCACTGGGAGATAAAACTGACAGGAATTGGTAATAGATCAGATACAGTTCAATGATGCCCAGATCCCCTACTTTGGCAACTGAATGGATAATGATAGCACCTACAGAAAAAGGGAGCGATGGAAGAATTAACTTCAGTATTTAGATAGGACACAGAAAGATAAAAAATTCAATTAGTGTGTGTATGTGTGTGGGGGTATTCCTATGTGAAATCAAAAGGCAATGTCGATTAGCTGAAGTATATATCGATCCTGAGGTCAAAGAGGTATACCTGCACAAATAAATATGCAAGCCATTTGAATAGGCAGCAACTGCGGTTCTGAGTGAGAATGACATTTCTGGAGCCTTGCCCTGGAAGAACTCATAACACGGTTTCATTTTTACAGCACTCAGCAATGTCTTCCCTATATTTTAGTGATTTGTATATGTGCTATATCTTCTCAACCAGTTTGAGGACATTTCTTGATGAAAATAGGCTGACGAAAAGAGAAACTCTTGAGATGTCCTAAAATTAATTACAAGGCCCAAAAGATGGAAGAGATAAGGGAAATTAGTTAACAGTTGGGGGTGGGGTGAAACCAACAAAAAGACTGTTTATGCTGAAACCCCAAAACACTCTTAGCTCTAGGCCCCAGGGGCACCTTCCAACTAGTGCTTAGCTTTACTGCTGGTAGTTTTTCCAAACTTGCCCCCAGACCTGGTCCTGTTTGTGGCTAGTATCTCTAAATGGCTCAATAAATTCTTTCACTTCAGAGACCTCTTGGTCTCCAGAATTTGAGTTTCTCAGGGGCTGTGTTGTATTTACCTTGGATTTCCTCAACCCGTAAGTAGTCTAAAACGTTCCCCACCGTTTTTGTCCTGAGCAGCCTCCCCGGGGTGGGCGCCTCGCCACTTTCTGCACGATGGCGAGTAGCCCTGCCCATCACTTACACCGTGGCTATGTGATCAGGGGAAGTGCCAGGTCTCTCTGGGCTACTTCCAAACTGGCAAATTGCAAATCCGGCAATTCTTCTACATAAAACGCCTAAAGGACTAAGTGAGATCGCGTGGGCGGAACCGCTACAGGAACGTCCAGCCCGTTTCTGGCGTCACTCGGCGGGGCTCTGGATAACACCGCACTGATAGGTGGCCCAGCTGCGGCTCGGCCGGGGCGCTGGCCCCGCTCCACCACCCACGCCGGCCGCCCGCCCGCCACCAGCCCGGCTGTGCGCGCCCTCGCCGAACCCACCCGGAGAAAAAAGCCGCCTCACCTTGGGATGGGGGCCGCCCCGCTCGCTCCGCAGCCGGTCTTATCCAGAGTTCAGATCTTCCGGAGATAGAGGGTCGGCCTGGTACAGGAAGTCCCGCCTCCTCGAAGCATTCCGGCGGGGCGGGCTAACTCGGTCACGCCCACTGCTGGAGTGGAACCCCGCCCCGAGCTGCGCCGCTGGGAATCCCCTGCTTTGCTCTGCCGCTTCCTGTCCAGACTTGGCACGTGAGATTTGGCTACTTCACCTCTGGCTTTTGTCCCTTCCTGTCTTCTCTAAGAACCCCTTCCCTCTTTATTTTGCCAAATTCTTTCATCTTCTACTCGTTCATGTCCTCCCACATTCCTTTCTTCTTCGCATTCTCTCATTTATTTCCATGCTACAACTTGGCAAAATATGAATTGCAGCTATGACTACTTTTGTGCAGCTCTTATTTGCTAAACCTGTACTAGGTAAATCTAAAGTCGGTTTTGTTCTTTTTTTTTTTTTTTTTTTTAATAATTGATTACCTGAACGGACTGCTTCTCTTCTCTTCTCAATATAATTCTTTTGGATGCCATTTATTAAGGGTTTACTGTGCCTCGGGTAGTTGTGCTTTGCACGTGACGCGCAAGTGCTCTGTCACTGAGCTCTGCATCCCCAGCCATTAATTTTTTAGATAGGGTTTCCTGTGTAGCCGAGGCTGACATAGACTCCGTATCCATTCACTCCCCCTCTGGACTGCTGGAATTACAGCTATGTACTACCACATCCGCAGCCATTGTGTTTTTATATGCAGTATTTAATTTAAACGTTGCAACAGTTACATAAAGGTATGATTCTCTTCATCATGCATATGAGGAACTGAGGCTTAGAGAGATGTTAAGTGGTTTGTCCGCAGACAAACCAGAGCTTTGTGCCAGAGAAGAGAGTGGAACACACTGACTCCAAAGTCCACGTGCAGGGAATATATACATGGTACAATACGGTTGCATTATATCAGGTACAAGGACTAGTCTATTATCCTTAAAACGTTTCCTTTTCATGAAATATCATATATTACCACAATGTAAAAAGTGCTGCACAAATGTCCTAGCCACAACAGGACCAGAAAACTGGGTTATTTGGGTCCTTGCTTATGAAGTGATTATTTCTTTTACTTTAATCTAGACAAGAAGTTATTGCCACTGAAACATGTTTCAAAGATGAATTGTGTGAACCGTGGAACCAATTCTGAAACTCACAAAGAGCCAGAAACTTGTCTTTGTTCTTCTGAATAATGACACCTTAGGAATCTGATTTGAATACCTCTTTTTGTGTATCAAGTGATACTTTTGTTTTCTTGATGCATTTGAAAAGCCTTCAGATACTAGTTTTTTGAGTCTTCATTATCAAACATGTTAAAATTAAAATCTTAAAAATACATGCTGACAAGTGTGGGCTCTTAACCAAATGAAATTTCCAAGTATTTTCAGAAATGTCATAAAAGTCATCTTTAAATCTCTTATGAGTGAAAATATTCCCACTGCTTTGGCAAAGCTGCTGAAACCAGGGTAAGCAACTTCAAGTAAGAAAAAGGATCAAATATCTTCTTCATTCAAATTAAAACCATTGCAAACTTCCTATGTCAGATGAGCAGGAAGTCTAGTTTTTTTTCCTAGAAACCTTCTTGTTACATCATAGTTGTTCTCAGGTAACTTAGTTTTGTTTTTTTTTTTTCCAGTCCAAAGAGGCCATTCTGCTTCCCAATGCCTCCTGAGAATAAGGGATGAATCTGCCAGTGCATAGTGGAGTCTGGTGTTCAGATTCTATTATAACAGTATGGTACACTAATGCCACAATCCAAAAGATCTCTACTGGATATTGTGAAAATTATTCAGATGGCTTCAGAGACCTCAGTACATGATAAGAGAAAACCTCTGAGATGTTAAAAAAAAGAAAACCATAAAACAAACTGTTCCACATTTCCTAAACATATGATGAAACCCTTGAGGACTATAAAGTCAAAATTCAATAAAGAATTAACTATTAACTAAGATTTAAAATTATCAAAGTTACATATACAATGTGCAGCTGCTCAGGGGTGGGGCCTCCAGGAGTGAGCTAATAAAATGTCATGTTTTGATATAAAGTAAATTGCAGTTGCAAACATTGGTTAAGACTTCTAACATGCCCCTGAGTGGTTACAGCTTCCCAGTCATAATGTATATCACAGAGTTATTATTTTCGAAATCGTATATCATAAAATCATCCATCTTAAAGCACTGGAAAGAATCTTAAAAATAAGAACAAAATCTGATCCAACAGCCTGTTTTATACTTCTCAATCTTTAAGAAATAATAACTTGGGTAACTTCATCCCCATCCAAAATTTCAGACCAATTTTATTATGCAAAAATCTATGAAACACATATAAAAGAAATAAAATATATTCAAATTTTCATCCATGTACTTTCAATTGCTTTATAAACTATAATGTTATTGAAGTAAGCATAGAGTAACAATAATAATGGAGTTGGGAGATGGCCCAAACAATCTATACATATGTGAGTAAATGTAAAAACGATAAAATAAAAAATAATAATAGCACTAGAGTTGACTATGAATTGGGCATTATTTGGAGAATCTTGCTCATGTTATTTAATTTTCACAATGATGTCCTGAGGTAGGTACTGTCATTATCCCTACTTCCTACTTGAATTTAGGCATAGAGAGATTAAATAACATACCACTGTCACCACTGGGAAGTTAACAGCTGAAATTTCAGACCTAGGCATAGGCTGTGGAGTATATGATCCTGACCTTTGCAGACATTACTGACAATTTAAAAAAATGTCTAGTGAAAAAAATAACTAGTGAGCATCTATTCTGTTCAATGCATTGTGCAAACAATATCAGAAATTCAAAAAATAATATGTGGTCCCTGCCCTCAGAGGCTCATGTTTTGGTTGTTGCCTTAATTAGAAAGCAGTAGCAATTAGTCTCATCATCCTGAATGGTCTTCACTTTACCCCATCATGGTGCTAGGTCCTGGACCATAAAATTGGGTGTTAGTTCTATGCCAGAATCACAGACTTACAGTTAGTAAATATCTTAAACTTCAATTGAATCTCTGTATCTTACAGATTGACAACTGACGTGTAAAGAAGTATCATGAGGTTAATGAAATAAAGTACAACCAGAAGAGCAGGCCTCCTGTCGCTCAGTTATTAAACTATGTTCACTAAATGAATGTAAGTTAAGTTTGCACAAATTTATTTATATGTTAAACCTCTAAGTAGATAAATCTATTAAAAGGAGTAAAATACTCCAGATAGGCAATTATTACTGTATAAATTGGACTAATCATCCACCATCATACATAAGAAAGAAGAACCTTAGTTATCAGTTGGCAAAATTCCCTATTGTTATGGGCAAGAACAACACTGATAAGAAAATGTTAAAAATTTAGGCTCCATACTTTGTTATCAAAGTGATATTTTAAATGAGTAGTAGATATATTCAGGTCAAAAGTTTAAACCCTATGGCTGGGGATGTAGCTCAGTAGTAGAGTGCTTGCCTAGCATGTACAAGGCCCTGGGTTTGATCCCTAGCACTGCCAAAAACAACAACAACAAAAAATTAAACTGATAAAATAATAATATTAGTTAATACTGTACACTTTCTGTTTGCTCTTCTAAGCATATTACACATACGACCTCATTTAACTCCCAGGACAATCTGATGAAGTTGACGCTATTATCTCAATTTTTCAGATGAAGAAGCTGCACTGGAGAGAAATTAAATAATTTTCTCACAACTATAGGACTAGGAAATAAGAAAAACAGAATTTGTAAGAGTGATATTTCTTCTTGATGCCATACCTTCTTTGTAGAAGAATATGGACAGGACTTAGATACTAAAAATTTCTACTAAAAATTTCTGAATATTTTGTTGTGTTTTTTTTTTTTAGTTTTGGGGACTGAACCCAGGGCCTCAAGCATGCTAGGAAAGCCCTCTACCATTGCCACATCCCAAGCCTAAGAGTGAGAGTTGTTTTTTTTCTTTGAAAGCACACTCACATTTAAGTTTTAGTCTGTGCTTCAACACTTCACTTGAAGTGTTGTGCTAGGCATTATAAGAAATATGAAAATAAAAAAGCATGATTCTGATACCCAAAGATTGACAGCAAAATATGAAGCATACAACAGAAACAAAAATAGCTTTAAAACAAGTCTGGTTGACTCACACAAACAGAGGCATATTCATGAGATACTAAGTCATTCTGCTTGATTTGAGCAAAGGCTTATGTGTAAATAGATGGAGGCAGGGCCTGGTGGTTCACACTGTAATTTGAGACAGAGAATCTCTAGCTCAAGGCAAGCTTTGGTGACATAGTGAGACACTGTCTCAAGAAAAAAGAAAAAAAGCTGGGCGTCTGTGGTTCATAGCTACTCAGGAGGCAGAGATCAGGAGGGTCGCGGTTTGAAGCCAGCCCAGGCAAATAGATTGAGAGACCCTATCTCAATAAAACCCTTCGCAAAAAGGGGTTGGCAGAGTAGCTCAAGTGGTAGAGAGCCTGCCTAGCTAGTGTGAGGCCCAGAGTTCAAACCCCAGTGCTGCCAAAAAAAGATTTAAAAATGGGAGAGGAGAACAAACTGGAAAACTAGATTAAGGTCAGAGTAGAGAATTGGCAAAAAGGCTCCTTGCAGAGAGATTACATAATCAAAGTTAGGTTCTTTCTAAGATCAATCTAATAGTGATCTTGGAGAATAGACAGAGGTCAAGAGCCAGTTTGGAAAGGTTTAGGGGAAAAAATACAGGGTGGAACAAAAGTGATGGCATTGGGAATGGAGAGGAAAGATACAGTTTCCTGTAACTTTACAGGAAACTTTTTGTAATAACTAAGTTAGCTATTAAAAAAAAAAAAAAGAGGTAAGCTGAACGCCAGAGGATTGCACCTTACTGAGAGAGAATTTGAACGATCTTAATAACCAGACGCTAGTGGCTCATGCCTGAAATGCTAGCTACATATGTTACGTTTCCTGCTCTAAAGAAACTCAAAATATATCAGGGCTACTGGCAACTAGAATTAAATATTTTAGAAGACTAGGAGCTGGGCACTGGTGGCTCACGTCTGTAATCCTAGCTACTCAGGAGGCAGAGATAAGGAGGATCACTATTCTAGGCCAGCCCTGGCAAATAGTTTGTGAGACCCTAGCTCTGAGATACCCAACACAACAGAGGGCTGGCAGAGTGGCTCAAGTGTTGGAGCACCCTGCCTCACAAGCATGAGGCACTGAGTTCAAACCCCAGTACCTCCAAAAACAAACAAACAAAAAACAAAATAAAAGAGGAGAGAAAGAAAAGGGAGAAGAGATGACTCTGTTTCGGAATAAATGGCAATGCCCTGGGTGGGGGGTATGGAAGACAGGAGGGTGTGGGGTTATGAAAGCAAGGATGCTGCATTTAGTTTAAACATGTGAATTCTGATGCACCAATGAGAACTCCAAATAGGAACTTACATATTCATTCAGTGAGTGAGCATTTACGAAATGTCTACTACTAGGACATTTCTTCCTTTAGTACTTGGGATATATTGTACTAATTACATATTTCTATTGCCTTTTTTTCATTTAAGGGTAAAATGTCCTATTCATATCCTACTCTATAAAATATTCCCAAACTAACACAATGGAAAAAGATGTCTCCTTCCTCTGAACTCCTACACATTTTATTGTATCGCTCATTTGATGCTTAGCATGTGTGATTATATATACTCTTCCTGCCCTCCCCTCTACCAAATTTTTAACCAGATCATAAGTGGCTTGAGAGCAGTTATTATTTTATACATTTTTGCAATCTCCCATATTACCTAACCCAGAGTAGGATTTCCGTAGTGATTTAATTTTAGACTAGGGGAACTCTTTTATCTCCTGTGATATGGATAGCTCTTTTCTTAGCCTTGTAAACCAGAAGGATCAGCAACATTTCACATCCAGAACACATAGCAACTGTAAAAGGAGCCACGGAAGCTAAGTCTGCCTTGGACTGTGAAAAAGAGAGCTGAATAATGGCAAGGGCTAAGAAACTATTTAACATCCCACTTTCAATAGCAACTGTCTTACAGACAGGAAAAGGCAGCAGACAAACTTTAGCAAAGCCATACCCAAATGACAAGCCCAAAGCAGGAACTAAGAGACCCAAAAGAAGCACTTCCAGGCTAGCAATTCTTAGAAACACTGATCCCATTCTGAATGTCAAATAAATCCCTGCAAACATTAAGATGAAACTCAGGGGTCGGATTATTCTCTCTAAGAGATTGGCTTTTTCTGGTATCCTATGCTTGATGACTATTCCAACTGATATTGGGATAAGTATGAAAAGGAGCGTTGATACAATTTTAAAAGTAGGAGCATGAAATATGCCTGATAAACCTAATATTCTACTATATAAATAAGAATTGACAGGCATCATTATCAGGGCGAATAATGTTGACGTGCAAGTCATCAAAATGGCCAAAGTGACATCTCCTTCAAGAAGTAAAGCAAAGAGATAACCCCCACCCCCACCTGGGCATGTGCAGGTCATCACAAACCCAAAAGCTTGTGCTTCAGGCAAGGCCAAAATCTGAGACAAAAGAAAACCACAAAATGGCATAAGAAAAAACTGTGTAACTACCCCAAGAATTACTGGCAAAGGTCTCTTCCATACTGTTTGAAGCACATGGAATTCAATCTTGCAACCAAAAGCACACTTATTTAGCAGTATCATTGGTAAAATAAGCAGGAGGATATTTCTATCAACTTGCATAGATGCCTGCAAAAGTCTACCTTTTGTATGCTTGCGCACTTTGACTTTGACATCCTTTATTTCTTCAATGAGTCTTTCTTGCCTACCTTCAGAATCCCAGAGTTGAATGGTCAAATTTGTCTCTCCTTCTTGATCTGTCATTAAGTTTATGGTAAAGTTTGTAATATCCAATGAGGTCTTGGTCACATTCACCACGTGCAGTATCTTAGGATCTTCTAATTGGACAAAGAGGTAGCTGGAGTTAGGCCCTTTATCTTTGTAACTTGACTTTATAATGACGGTTTCTTCAGTCTTTTCAAAAAATAGTATTTCAGTCTTTTCTATCCATAGAAAACCAAGAGATGACTTCCTTGCTTCTCCCAGAGTTACAAACAAAAGAAGGATCATAAAAAGTTTTCTGGTCATTTTGAACACACGAATAAATCATGAATGCCAAAATCATTTTTTAAAAATGAACAAACATTTTTTGTACAGGAATTCAGTGATCACGTAGGCTGAGTTAGGTAACAGTTGTTTTGCTGGATCAAAGTCCAAAAGGAGGGACTATTGTACTTTGCAAAGGAATATAATCCTGTCTAGAGTGACACAACCTGTTTAACTTGAAGTTAAGAAAACTTAAAGCCAAGGCAATTAACCAGTTCACAAACAGAAAATTAAACTCTTTTCTCCTGACTTTCTCATTTCTGCTAACCAAAAAAATAGCCCAATTTACCTGAGAGAATCAACTAAAGTTAGGTCTTTTCTGTCAAAGGAGTTAATGTATAACTATCACTGTGTAGAGGCCAGTAACCTACCTGAATTGCTGCCTACATTCTTTGTGAAATGTTGCTTGACCTTGCAAGGTTCTTGAGGTCAAAGAAAGAGCTGTTTTTTGCCAGATGCCCTAATCTCAAACTGCTTGACCTGTCTTTTCTGTAGCTTAATCAAACCACTATCATCTTTTTTTGAGTTTCATATTCCTGAGACAGTTAGGTGCCAGTGTCGAAGTGTTGCAGGCTGGGATCCAAGGTCCTTGTCTTCACAGGCCAGGGAACTGGCTCGTGAGGCAGCTGAATGATAAGCCAAAGCTGGTGTATAAAGTAGGATTTATTAGAGAGAAAGGAAAGGCTACAGCTAGAGAAGTGTAGCGGAGCCCGGAAGCTGGTAACTCCCTGCTCAGGTGAAGTCTGGGGCTTCTTAAGGATGCTTTAACTCTGGGTTAGGGTATCAGTTAGGTGGGTTTTTTCTATTGGCCGTGTATTTGCATGTGGGCCTTCTTAGATGAGCTGGTCTATTTGTCCCTTATTGTGGGGGGGAGACAATCTTGAGAGCATTTTGTTTATCATCCCCATTGCAGATTAGTGAGACCCTGTATCTCTTCCTCAGGGTGCAAGAATGCAGATTTATAACTCCTTCTCAGAGTGTAGGGTTCATGGTGCTATCCATGGGGAATGGGCTACTTACTCATCTGCCTTAGTTATCCTGACCCAACAAATCCCCCTCTGAGACAAGCACCCAACTGCTGTTGGGGAGAGGGGCGATGACTCATCTAGCTGATTCGTGCTGACAATGGGATGATGGGGGCGGGGGAGGTGGTACTTGTCTCAGGGGTTGACCCATGTAGTCTCTAGCCCCACTGGCCTGCTCTTCCTAGGCATTGGGAGGGACTATACATGCCAACAAAGCCTGTGCCTAATGCCTTGCCATATAGTTGTCCATCTTTTAAACAGTGAAGGTTGCTGTAGGAACAAACAGGTGCAGCATTGTAATAACTGCAATCATGAGGACAGGGAGAGAACCAGCAGCCAAGGCACAGACTATAAGAAGAAGGAGAGCACAAAGCAGAGTACACAGGATGAAATACCCACCACTCAAATCTACTCGTTGGGGCCATACCGACTCGGGGAGAACTTGCCCACAAGTCGACACTTGGAAGAAAGGGGACAAGAATAAAAACAGCCCACAAAAAGGGAGGAAGTGAAGGCATAGGTTATGTGTTCGAGGTGTTTCTTTTGTAAAGATATTTGAGGTCTTCCACTGGCTCACAGGAGTAGGCTGGTGGATCAGGGTGTGGCTCTGGGGTGGGTGCGTTAGGCTCTGGTGTCCAGCATTTGGCTTGGGAGATGTGAATCCAGGAGTCTAGCCCAGCAACCTTGCGTCCTGTGGGAGTAGATAACAAGACTGGGTATGGCCATTCCCAAGGGGGGTTTAGAGAGACCTCGGGAGTTATGGGGGGAGTTTGATAAGGACTAGATCTCCAGGACAAAAGGCAGCTGGGGAGAGGCCTTGATGCCCCTCCCTCCCTATTTCAGAGAGGACCTGCTGAAACTTGGCTAGTTGTGTGATACAAGAGACCAGGTTTGTTACTTCAGGATCTAAAGTTAAATCTTTTTGGAGAAAAGTTCTCCCATACAAGGCTTCAAGGGAGTAAGGCCCATTTTATTTGGGGTATTTCTAAGTCAGATTAAGGCTAGAGGTAGTAATTATTGCCAGGGGAGGTGAGTTTCCTGAGCCAATTTAGACAGGTGTCTCTTGAGTAATCCATTGGTTCGCTCAACCTTGCCTGAGGATTGGGGTCTCCAGGCACAGTGGAGATGATATTCGATTCCCAAAGCCTTAGAGATTCCCTGAGTGACTTTGGCTCAGAAGGCTAGCCCATTGTCACTTTGGAGTCTGACAGAGTCCAAATCTAGGGACAGTCTTGCTAATTAGCACCTTAATTACTTCTCGGGCCTTTTCAGAGGAGCAGGGGAATGCTTCAACCCACCCAGTAAAGGTGTCCACCAGAACTAGGAGCAACTTAGAAGCTGGGCCCCTGGTAGGTGGGTGAGGTCAAGCTGCCAGTCTTCCCCCAGATATGTCTCCCACCTCTGAGTTCCAGGGATAGGGAAGGAAGTGTTATGGTGACAGAGTTCACATACTCTAAAATATCCTGGAGGGTATCTCCAAGTCTTATCACCTCAAATAGTTGCCCTCACAAAGAGAGTGTCTTATGGACCCCCAAGTGATAGGTCTGATGTAGGGTTTTTAGGACCTTCCATTGGCTACTCTGTGGGAGAAATAATTTGCCCTCAGGAGTTATCCACCGTCCTCCATGATCTAAGCAATACCCTCTCTCTGAAGCCTGTGAATGTTTGGCAGGTGAGTATAGGGGGCGTTCAGAAGAAAGGAGGGATTGTTCCCACAAGACAGGGGCTTGAACATAAGGTCTCCTAGCGGCCTCCTTTGCTGCTATATCAGTTCTCAGGTTTCCCTTAGCAACCTGATCCTCTGGCCTTTGATGTCCAGGGCAGTGAATTACTGCTATTTGTTTTGGAAGTAAAGCTGTTTTTAAGAGGTTTAAGATTTCCCTGGAGTGTTTGATAGGGGATCCTTCAGTAGTTAACAATCCTCACTCTTTCCAAAGGGCTACTGGGCATGCAGGACCAGGAAAGCATATTTAGAGTCTGTATAGATGTTGGCAGTTTTTCCCTCAGTTGTAATGCCTTGGTGAGAGCTATCAGCTCAGCCAGTTGGGCACTAGTGGAAGGAGGCAGAGGTTCAGCCCATTAAGGTCTCAGTGAGAGAGACCACAGCCACCCCTGCTCATCTAATTCCCTCTTGGATGAATGAACTTCAATCCATGAAGAGAGTGAGGTCTGGGTCCAGGAGGGCTGGTCAAGGAGGTCAGACCTAGCTGAATAACATTTGGCTACCACTTCCTCACAGGAATGCATGAGTGGCTCCCCCTCAGTTGGGAGGAGCAATGCTGGATTTAGGGCAGAGCACACCTGAAGGCTCACATCTGGACATGCTAACAATTGGGCCTGATACTTAAGTAGCCTGTTGTCTGATAACCATAGTCCTCCTTTAGCTCTTAGAAGCCCTCCTAGGTCATGTGGAGTATATATGGTTAAGGGCTGTCCAAGAATTAATTTTTGGGCCTCCGGGATCAAGAGGCAGGTTGCTGCCAGGGCCCTTAGGCACCCAGCCCACCTTTTAGACACATTGTCTAGTTCTTTGCTTAGGTATCCCACTGGCTGTGGAGTTGGCCCTCAGAGCTGGGTCAGTACTCCTAGGGCTGCTCCCCCCTTTTTCATAGACATAATAGTTGAAAATGGTTTTGGGTAGGCAAGCTCAATGCTGGGGCAGTTTGGAGTGACAGTTTGAGGGCCTGAAAAACCTTTGTGTTTTCAGGGTCCCATTCTAAAAGGGATTGAGGACCTTGCTGAGCATCTTTTAGGAGCGGTATAGGGGCCTGGCAAGGGCTGCATATTTAGGGATCTAGATTCTGCAAAATCCTGTAACTCCCAAGAAAGCTCTAAGCTGCTTTATGGTCTGGGGAAGTGGAAAACAGAGGATTGGGTTGATTCACTCATGACTCAGGGAGTGAGTCTGTCCCTTTAAGACCACACCTAGGTAGGTGACCTATGGGAGGCACAATTGAGCCTTTTCTTTAGAGAATTTGTATCCCTAGGAGGCCAGAAGGTTTAAAAGGGACTCATCGCCCTGCAGATAAGGGGACCTGTGGCTCCACACAGAAGTAGGTAATCAACATATTGAAGAAGGGTGGCCTTTGGGTAGTGCCAACCTACTAAGTCTCTGGCTAGGGGCTGTCCAAAAAGATGAGGGCTGTCTCTAAACCCTTGTGGCAAACCTGCCCAAGTCAGTTGCTGTGAAGGGTTTGTGGGATCTTTGAAAGCAAACAGAGGCTGACTGTAAGGAAGCAGAGGAATGCAAAAGAAAGCATCCTTTAAATCTAGTACAGAGTAATATTGGGTTTTTGAGGGTATTTGAGCCAATAGATTATAGGGATTGGGAACAATTGGTGGAGGGGAATGACTGCTTCATTAATGAGCCAGAGGTCTTGAACCTTTGCAGACAGCAAGAATAGGAGTATTGCAGGGGCTGGAGCAACTAATTATCAGCCCTTGTTTTTTTAAGGAATTTATGATAGGTAAGAAGCCTTGTCCTCCCTCAGACTTGAGGGGATATTGTTTTTGGTGTGGAATCTGTGAGGGATTTTTTAGTTTTATTTGAATAGGGAGGGCTCACCTTATAGTTATCCCATCAGTCCTCACTGTGAGATCTATTTGTTCCTGAAGGAGGGGGCAGCAGAGATAGTCATCTGGGGGGAGGGGAATTTGAGCTTTTAGTTGAGATAGTAAATCCCATCCCAGCAGGGACACTGGAGTTTCAGGAACTATGAGTAAAGAATGATAGAAGAGGAGGTCTCCCCAAGAGCAGGCCAGAGGCTGGGTAAAATAGTGTTCTAGGGGATGACCAAATATGCCCCAAATGATAACTTTGTCATTGGACTGGGGACCAGAAGAGAAAGGTAAGACAGAGAAATGGGCTCCACTCTCTAGCAGGAAAATGACCTTTTGCTTCTCTACCATTATGGCTACCCCAAGGCTCCTCAACATTGATGCTAATAAGTGGAGCCT